CATCCTTGTCGAGGGGTTCCTTCTCTTTTTTACTAATGCGTTGTACTTCATTTCTCCACTGTCACTTCTGAAAAAAAATAACACACCACTTCGATGGCAGACTTTGCCTTCAACCCATACCTGGCCTAATGTTGGAATTGTTAATTATATTTATATCATTTTTGATATTAACTTTTTGCGCGTCAACCAATTATTTTTGTGGTTCAGAGCCACACTGCCTCGTTAATGGTTCAATTAAAACGGTCCGTTCGGAATTCCGCGACGGTCGATTCCAATGGCTATGCCTAGAAACTGGACGATGGGTTGTTGGTAAGTGCAAATACGCGTAGAAGCTACTATAGCCTGAGAAGGTTAGCTCATGTCTGAATTCCAAGGCTGTTACTACGCAAATGAGACACATCCGGATGTGTACTTGAAGATCGGCGAACATGGCTACAATGGCCTGATCAAGCACGTTTGCGATCGATACAAGGACTATCCCGGCCGTGTGCAGTACTATGCTGAGGTGCGATTTCTCTTGATGGTAGCTGGCTTAACGAATAGAATTAGTCATTACAGACAGCTCAAAACTTATTCAGGTATTACCGCAATATGCAGGTGTATCCCCTAAGACTAGGTACCTGACAGGAGGCCCGTTACGCGGCAAGGAAGTAGAGATGCAGACGGGTCAGCGGACGAGTCGCAGCGCGTACTGTAGTGATTTCGCGTCAAGTTAAATAGAATGTACCATTGTACGTCCTACATCACACGCTGCGACTCGTCCGCCAACTCTGCCTTCTTGCCGCGCGACGGGCCTCCTGTCGGGTAGAGCTAAGCCTGGGAGGGAGCAGGGACTATGAGGAAAATGGAATTTGCTCTTTCACCGTGGAGTTTCCTCTTCCCCGCCTAATGTTTGGTCCTCTTCAGAATAGAAAAAAAGATGTTTGATGCGATTTTAAATGCGCTGCCCCCATATCTTGCAATAGTGCCCTTTTCACTATTTGAAAGGAAAATAATAATAGCTTGGCACTCTTCAATAACGTTTCTGAGATACGCCATGCATCGACTTTTGTTCGAAATCGTATAGGTCCTTGAATGGGTGTTTGCCGCGAGGGTTAGTCCATGATGTTATAACAGCCCACTAATCCGCAGTACTGTAACAATTTTTTCAGGTACGAAAAGATCCAACGAACCAAGGGCATCAACAAAAACTTTCCCGATCCAGCCGATTGCGAATCAAAGATAAAGTGAGTTAGCGTGTTGTTTCTAGTACGTGAAATTGTTGCATCTCTAAAGGGAGTGAGCTTTGTTAGCCGCTGAAGGATCAAAAAATTGAAAAATCATGAGCTGAAGGAGGTGGGCTTCGTGCTGAAAATGTAGTAGTTTTTTGCCCGGTAGTTTTATTGGTGGTACGTCCGCTTAAGGCCGATGTCAGACTTTGCGAAGAGCGATTCGCTAGCGTCCGCGGTCGCGTCGCGGCCAGTGAATCACTCAATTGGCTGGTACCGCGACGCGACCGCGGACGCTAGCGAATCGCTAGTCGCGAATCGCGCGATTCGCAAAGTCTGACATCGGCCTAGCAATGTCAAAGAGCGCGGTCGGTTAGGTGGACCAGTTTATACCCTAAATCAACTACGGTAGTGGTAAGTCCATGAATAGAGGTGGTACATGGTAATTTAGTTGAAGCTTTCTAAATACTAACTAACTCACTAATTCGAAAACTATTTCCCGTAAGAAAAAGGTCTTAAGCCCAGAAATATTGCCGGTTGAAAAATAAACACTTCTGGGATTTCTTTTTTCGGAATACTTTTGTGTTCAATTTTTGGTAATAAATTTTTGAAGTCGCAATGAGTACAAACATTCGAAAATCTCGAAATACAAGGTGTTTATTTTTGGTCACTGAAATTCAACCGACGTCTAACTATTTTTTTCCTTTCAGGTCGAAAGATGGGTGCACGAGAGCGCATCGCTGTTCATCGCAAACGAGGAGGTGCTACGTGGCAAAGTTCGGTACCTACCAGCCTCGCGACGGCAATGGCCTTCTGATCAACACTAGAATTGAATTGTCGCTATTTATGTTTGTCATTATTGTTAGTTATCCGCATGTATAGGTACATAATAAACAAAATAACATAGAGAAATGGCTGGAGCGCTCGGCGCGGTCAGTCATTTTTCGGATACGCCACGCCCACAATTTTTAACAAAAATTTTCAAGATCAAGAGTCCCACTGATGTTTGAACATTTACACCTTTCTGATCACAGGACGCCTTTCCGCAATATGTATTTGAGAATAATTTTAGGAAAGAAGAGAAAAGAACAATACTATGATGATGTATGGAGTTCGGATGCGCGACACAATCAAATTGCACTTCAAGGGCCTGACCTGCTTGCTTATGGAAGAACGGGTGTTATTTTAGTTTCGGAAGGAACAGAAACATGACGATTACTCTTGGAGTTTGGCTATTTACCCTTTACTGCCCCACTCCTCGAGAACTGAGCCGGATTTTTATCGAAATTGGTCATTGACTGTGAATTTGGCCAGAAACTTGTCTTCGGGGGTAATTCGACCCGTAGAACACGAATATCACATTTGTTTACCGCTAGAACGCCTGGCGCTCGCGTCAGAAGCGCCGGCGCCAAAAGGCGCCAGAACATCTCGGATCCCCAAATTCGCTGGAAAGTTGTCCTCAGAGGTATTTTGACCCGTAGAATATGATTATCACATCAGTTTGTTACGAGTGAACCTGTAGCCTGCGCTACGAGCGCCCGCGCAAAACTGTTGTGATAGCGCCGGCGCCTGTGGCGCGGGCGCCAAGCGTTTTCGCTCTAAACCGGTATTATATTCGTGATCTACGGGTCAAATTACCCCTGAAGGCAAGTTTCTAGCAAATCCACAGTCATGGACGAATTTCGATCAAAATCCGGCTCAGTTCTTGAGGAGTGGGGCAGTAAAGGGTAAATAGTGCCGGAGTTTTGCTCTCTTGATCGTACAGATAGTCAGAGGCGTTTCTTTACTCATACAATGCCGCGGCATGTCAGCTGGCCGAAAGTAAAAACTCATGGTTGACCGGTTTCCGGCAGAGTCCTTCCTTTAGCAACCCAGACGGATCGCATGTAACTCATATTCTTCATATTTAGAAACCCTTCTACTAAATATCGTATGGGTGAATGGGTTTTTATGTAAGCGACCAAGGTCATTGGGGTTCAATTGCCGTTGAAGATCGTTATCGAATTCCTGTCTATGCTAACAGTTAACATTCCCTGAATCTTACGACCATTTTCCTTATAACCATCAACTGTTTTTCAAACAATCCGAACTATACAATGCCGATCCGATGCATTTTCTGCGTCTCGCAGCGAACACCTAATGTGTCATTTGGTGGATTTAACCCTTGTGTGAATGGAATTTCAAAGGTGATATTAACTAAACACCAAGATGTTCAAGGGACTACATACGAAACCGTTTGGTCTTTTGTTTGCTCCTTATTAAGCCTCATCACATATTCACGCCCTTGAAATATACGCCGCACGCAAAGTGGTTTTTGAACCCCATGCTTCTACCTCCATCCTGCTGTCCATTTTCTCAGCAATAATATCAAATCTGCAAAAGCTAATAAATTGGGCGGCATTCACTGATTGCTTTAAGAAATTGAAGAAACTCTGAGCAAACTTGGAATGAGCATGACGATAGAGGGGGACCAGAATAAGGATTCAGTTTGGCTTCTGTTTCGCACAGGCCTCAGACGGAAGCGGAAACTTCTGCGAACAAAAAAGTTTCGTCTGTGCTCATATGAAGACGGCGTTATGACTATGCCTTCCATGTGCAGAATTCGTAGACTGATTCGGGATGCCACACCTATGATTTGGAAGTTCTTCTATTGCTCAAGCTTTGAGATTTATTCATTTGGCATGGTTTTTCTGCTTTTTTCTCTGCTTAGATATCTTCGCAGCAGAAACTAATCGAGGGAAGTTTTGTAACTACTCAGAGTTTCTCACGCGATATGTTTTAACTTGTCACTTAGACTACTTCCATATTTCAATGCAATGGAATGGAAATGTGGAGTTACCACATGAATTTGATCCTGGACTTTGATTTTAACGCCCATTAGCTTTAACATGTTTTTGCTAAAATGACAGCGCGCCACAGTTCGGGTAGCAAATGTTATTACCAGATGCTGAGGTATGAGGGCAAAGGTTGCTGTAAGAGATGGCCGTCACTAAGTAAGTTTGTCCATTCTTGTTAAAAGTTCTTAACAGCTTTCACAAGAAAACTGGGTAATGAACAAAACTTTTGCCGAAAGGGATCTCGAAGCCGCAGCTCTAGCTCCGGGCAAGTTACGCTCTGATGAGCAATCACTCTAACAGCAGCTTTCTGCATCTCAGGTCTCACTGTAGTAACTTACTATTCTATATCTTATTATCAACTATCGTATCCCTAGTCAAATAAGATTAAGGGCACCATTTCTAGTGAGCATATCTCCTCTTTCTTTGCTGTTTCAATACCATTTGCTCAAAAAATTCCACTCTTGCACTAGTTTTTTTGCGGCCATCAACTGCTAGTTTTGCTTGGAACCGAGCATGAGAACTATAATCGCGTATACAATCTTGGATTGGAGTCATTTCTGGACAGCAACAGTTGTCAGTATCGCTGCAAAGAACTTCTTGGTGGAGGTTTACTTTCGGTTTTCTGCTTTCTCTTTTTGGGGGGGGGCAGAGGGTGGTGAGTGAGGTTTTTTTATATTGTTTGTCTTTTTTCATTTCGGAGTGTTTCCCAACCAGCTGTGATTGCTTTGATAATTATATACCACCTATCTCATCCACATCCAGAAAAATGTGAAAATTCTTGTGAGAAGAATTACTTCCCTTGAAGGAACCAGAAAGTGCGGCCTAGCTGTTGAAGCCGATTATGACGATTCTATGGCGAGCAGTGAAGCATAAGGAAAACAAGAGACGGTGGGTTTCTCGGAGGATAAAACCAGTTTGGTCAGCTTTTGGGGGATTACTGATATTTGAGGCCAATCGTAAGCCGCACCTGACTGCTGAATAGTTTCTAGATATCCGACAAGCGGGCAAATGCATGAAAGAGTTATCGGCGAGGCTGGATGGAGTGTGCGGATTTTGTTGACGTCGCTGCACAACATGGTTAAGACTAGGCCCTTTAAGGACAATGACGGACATATGCGAAGGTTCGCGATTTCACGTTTGGATTCTCTAGGCGATACGACAGTGGTCAGGTGAAGTGCAATTTATCTCTCGCTTTCCAAGTTGACTATCATCGGTTTTTATAGACTTGCGTTGGCATGAGAGCATAGGGAAGTGGTGAGAGTCCACGTGCGCCTCAGAGAAGCTCTCGCCACTTTTCTAAACTGCGGAGTTACTGGTGCATCGTTCGAACGGTCCCGTCCCGCGTTTTTCTCAGTTCATGGAGAACTAGAGCACCAACTTAAAGGGGGGGTCTTCAGCGGGCAAATCACGCTTTTTCACAAACGGTTTTCTTGCATCTTGTGGAGGAGATGTAAGAACACAAGCCATTTTTCAATTACGGTCCTTGGCAGTACAAAAAGTGGATAATGATACGATTGGCGATGCGGTCGATCCCCGCGGCGACCAAATGTTGCATTTCGAGTTGAGCGCCTACGGCCATCGTGGTCGGAAAATCGCGAGCTACATGTTCAAAAATCGATGTCAAATTCATCGTCAGGACCATTTTGAAGCCAACAAGTGTCCGCCAACCTTGATTGCAAAATTTAGTCGCCGCGGGGGATCGAACCATCAAGGGTATCATTCACCACTTTTTTGGTACTACTAAAACCGTTCAGCGAAAACGAAACATGGTTTTGATCCATACATGCGTCCCTACAATATGCAAGAAACCGTTTTCAAAAAAGCCGGCTGCCCTGAAGACCCTTTCTTGTTAGCCGCGCTCGAGATTCACTTACGCTCTGATCAGCAACGGATTATGCCCTTAAACAATGTTTCAATGATTGTTATTGAAATTCGCCCTTAGCGTCGATTATCCCTCATTAATGAAGAACCGTTTGCAAAGCATTCTATATTGATCAGTCTTGTTGCGGGAAAACCACAAATATTCTTCCTCATAATGATTTCGGTGACATTTTAATGAAGTACCACAAAAAAAGAGTCACTGGTTTCTTCGGCGAATGAATTCAATAAGATCATCTCGATGAGGATAGTATGGCGAGCCAAGAAGATTTTCAAGAAGCTGAATCGCAGAGGTTTTTTTTCGATTTTTTTATTGCCATCCTTTTGAATGATGATGGACAATGACTGGACACGGAGGAGAGAGGATAGGCAAAAAATTAGAATGGAAGAGAAAATGGCAGACGCCAGCATGCAGGGTACGGAAAATGGAAGCGTCTCGAAGCAGGCTATGGTAGCAATTCCGCTTATCGCTCTTTAATTGCCAACTGTGGTGGAGCACGCGGACATGGCTAGCCGATGCTACAATCTTGCACAGTTCTATACTGTTCACCAGAAGGATTCATCCACCAAAAATCATCCTGGGCTATGCCTTTAAGGCTGCCACCATATATTGGTTGTTTATATATTTATATATGTATAAATAAATAAATAAATAGATTTATAGGGTGTATTGGGAATTTAATAGTATATTGATACTGTTTTCATTCTCTGCTGCACATATCATGATATAAACTGTGGTCACGTGATTGTTGGTGAGCAGTACACCGATTGGATCGCTTCACCCGTTTCAATTTCACTGCTAGTTTCATATAGAAACCCCTGGGACTCTTTGAACAGGTTTGCGTTGATAAGAAGCGCTGAGTCACAAATCGTGAAAATGTGCAGGGTAAACCTTCCATAGTGACGTTCAGTTCTTTCTTCGATTTGAGGTAAGGAGTAATTAGGGGCAGAGCGAGATGTGAGCAGTTCCCACATAAATGTATGTTTGTGCACCTAAAGCTTTTCAAATATTCTATTACCTTTGCGAGCATGAGGGGCTTTGGTGCTATCGGTGAGGTGACGTATGTAGTCCGACCGCCGCGCGCTTTGAACGCTTATCATGACGCGAGACC